CTTTATCGACTTCTTCTACTTTACCGACTCCAAAATTGAGTCGACAAATATAAAACACAGTTGCCAGAGGGCAGAGACACATGCTGTTTGTGCAAACGGCCACTACGTATGGTACTACCACTACCTACTTGGTATTTAAAATCGTTAGTTTCGTATTGATTGTTGGTACGAAATGTTGAAATGTTTAAATTCTATTACTACACTATGTTTGTTTTGATTCGCTATGAAAGTTTGACAGATAACATCAGGGGTGTGTGGATTCATGCAGAACATGCAGGGGTGAGTGAAATAGCTTGGGACTGCTTGGGACCGTTGTTCTGGTACTGAGTGAGCCAAAAATAATAATGATTTTCTTCGGGACCTACTAGTCTTAGAGTTACCTCTATGGTACTACCCTGCCAGCTATGTGTTGTATTGTGTCCTATACACTACCAATAAAATATAGTACTTTTACCTCCGCCATGGCAGGACGGTCAGTGAATCGATCGTAAGTCATTATTTTTAACTATCACACAACGTACAAATTGGGTCCTATCCGTGCGCGATCATAATTCTAGATTGAGCTGGAATTAGGGCGTAACAGCTTTTGTAAACAATTACTTCTCTCGATGATTTATAGTAATTCAAGGCACGGCCACGCAAACCAACATAACCATCGGGTAGAGGAAGTCTTCATCTACCCGATAGTGATGTTGATTTGCGTTGACTAGCCTTGACTTTCTAGAAATCATCGAGAGAAGTCATTGTTTAAAAAAGCTGTTACGCCCTAATTCACCACAAAGGTAGCCATCTGGCAGAGCATGTATAGTTCTTGACTCATCGTGGACTGCAAGAGTCTTGGTCAAGAAGCATGCTCATTTCAATGGCGAGTGCGTTTACCAGATTCTCGTGTTGTTTTCGTGATCACTATAGTGCTAACAGCTTATTGTACGGGAGAACAATGCATCGGACCTACAACAGAATGATAACAGCAAAAACCATTTCAACCCATCTTGCATGCGCTACAGCACTCGACGATACGATATGACTATTGTATAGAATAGTTGTAGTTTCAATGTCTTGTGTGAAATAAAACCGTATGTTTTGGAGGGGAGTATGTTTGTGCAAACGGCCTACACTCAGGTCTTTTTTTACACGGGGGATACGTACCTACCGTGTAAAAAAACCTACGAGATTTTGATTTTTCACATGCTCAAATGTTTTTAAAAAATCGGATTTTGATGCCATTTGTAATTATATCATGCTATGGTCCATATAGACATATTTTAAAAATTGTGATTTTTTTCTAAGTATGTCATTCGATTACCTATAGCTTGAAACAGATAATGTATTTGGAATCAAGTCGATAGGTTGTATCGTTGTCGAGAAATCGTTAAAACGTACCGTGTAAATCGCGAAAAACCGTGTAAAATAACCGTGTAAAAAAAGACTTCTGTGTATAGTACTTATACCTTCGCCATGGCAGGACGGTCAGTTATTCTCATATATAAGATAAGGATGAAGTCAAACAATTCACAATGAAGAACAAACAATTCACATCGCATGGAAATGCAAAACACTAGTAGTAGTAGTGTGATTCAATGTGCAATGCACTTAAATTGATAAAGAAAGATTATCAACATTTCAAAGTTTGAAACACTAGAAATCTACGTGTAGAACACAGTGAACCATGGTGGAATACACTTAAAATAAATGTGATTGTGCATATTCAAAATCAAGAGTTTAAACACTTCGATCAGACGTGTGGATTTTTTTGAGTGTATCTATAATTAGTCAACATTGGCGGCAGCTTGTGCCACTTTTACTCGAGGTAGTGAACTCAAATCCATCCGTGCACTCTTCAATATTTGCTCAAAATATGTTTTTGATTAGAGTAGGGGTAAGAGGTACATAGTGAACAGGTGAGGCATAATTAGCATCCCGAACTCCAGTCAGAAACCTCTAGTTGTTCGAAACAAATTAAGGGGGTATTCCCAATCTTTTGCCTTTTTTCGGCCTGTTTTTCAATTAATTTTTTTTCAAGGAAAATGAATAGTAATGCGCCTAACTCTTTGGGATTCTTGTTTATTGAACATTAAAGTTTACAAATAATTTTTTTTCGACATAAAAAAAGACATTATTGAAGTCACAAAATGGCGACAAACAGACCCCTGTTCGCCGCAAACGCCTGGACGGGCGAAGATTTTTCTCTGGAACGGCTTCATCTGAAACAGATTTCGTGATGAAATAATAATCTGCATAAGATTCTCTGGAGCTTCTCCCGTTGGCAGCAAAAAATCTTGCAAATTAACAAAATGGCGGCCATATGAAAAAACAGGCGATTTTTAGCCCGCTTTTTTGCAACTTTAAGGTGCTTCAAACAATGTTAAATGTTAATATTTTTGGCTGAAAGTGGGAGAAGCTCCAAAGAATTTAATAAGGAACAAAATGCGCAAAGATTCAAGTCAATATCTCTTATAGTTTCTGAGAAAAATCTTCGCCCGATAAAAAAAATGTGGTTTCGAGAAAAACGCGTTTAAAGTTTTGACTTTAGTTAAAACCATTTGGGGGTTCTTACCATTAGTCAGCTATGCCTGGACACCGAATTCGGCTGATCGGAAAACGGCTTGGGGGGATGAAAGTATATAGTCTAAAGTACAAAAAAACGTGAAAAAAAAAAATTTGATTTTTTGAAAAAAAAGATCGGGAATACCCCCTTAATTGGTAATACGTTGTTCAATATCACCATTACAATGTTTAACGACCAATTATTTTGTTTCGATCCATAGGAAATCCAAGGCTAAAACACAGGAAGCTCACTATGCCCCTTTATAAGACGAAAAAAGACGTATGGGTCGCAGTAGCGTTCTACCCTATGTATTATCTTTGCAATGATTGCTCAAAACGCCTGCTCAACTAATAGTTACTACAGTTAGAACAACTACCAATGGCATACTAATACTCCTAATCGTTACTCAATCAAAATGTTATGATCCCGCACTCGAGACTGATAACAGGTTATAATTTAAATCTGGTTGCACTTTCATTTGGAAGAACAAAACTTTTGAAACATGTTACAAATCTCACAGTACGGACACATAACAAACAGCATTACGAACAACCAAAACAGCAGTGCATGCATATCAAAACTGTTTCTGCATTCAAAGGAAATAAACAATGCTCCCAATATCTACAAACAAAGAAAAACAGCAGAATTAATCATGTTGACACGTTACCGCAAAGATCATGGCGAGACATGACCGCACCACCTGGGGCAGTGTGTTATCAATGACGTCCACATCCTTCGCGAACCGGTTCAACACCCGCCCCAGCGGCGTCGTGTCGAATAGCTCCATCGGCCAGCGCAGTACGTATCGTAAGAGAATGACGTGCATCTCGCGGGATGCCTTCAGTGCACCCAGTGCGAACGATATCGAAGCAGCAAAGGTGGCAAAAACTGTTGTAATGGGGACGGGTTGGTTGTTGTTTTATTTTCTATCTATTCAGTGCTTTTTTTTTAGTTGTGTTGAATTATTAGGTATACTTAAAATGTTTACGCATAATTGAATCATTTATCAATTGAGAAATCGCAAAAGAACATTTGATACAAAAACTGGAAAACAACCGAAAATCGAAACGAGGTCCTAGGTATGTGGTTTCTCTACAAATTAATATTCCTAACACTAAAATGACTTCCCTCATCCAATTTTTCTAATATTTCTACTGCCCATAAAAACATAACTGTCCCATATGAATAGGAAATCAAGCAGAGTTGGGACAGTTATAAAAGCATAACAGTCCCATATGGATTTTTTTTTGGTCAAAAATGAGTTATCCGTTATAATCGATTGTTAACTACCCGCATTTAAAACTGTGCACAAAAAGTTACATGTTAGTTGTTCAGAAAATGTTGCGAAAAATACCAAGGTTATCCCATCCATAAGAGCATATGGGGGATTAAATATTCAACAGCATTTTCCTCGGCATACTGTTTGGCCAGATGGAACTGATCTGCTTTTATGTGGTCCAAAAAATGCTAAAAGATCGTTTTCGGTAAAAATGTGACTTATGCGGTTTCTCAAATAAATGATTCAATTACAACTAAGATGATCTACGCCTTCGTCATTTGCTATACCTATTATTGAGGGGGAAGCTAATGAAGCTCTTAGTCAAACGATCGATGCCCTAAAACATGATGTGTAATACAGCTAAAAATTACCGACCAACGACTTTATTCGCCTCGCAGACGATAGTGGGTTTAGCAATTGACGAAGACGCAATCTGCCGGTGGTCGCATAATTGCCCCATGTGCTATGGAGTTTCCTATACCTACACATGGGACAATCACGCTTTCAGCGGCATACCAAGCGATTGTGCGTGTCAAGCTACCGAAATTACGTTACGTAACTATTATTATTAGTTTTAATTGAAAAAGTAAACGTTATGCGATCCAACAGAACAGGATAGAGAAAAAAAAAACAGGATTGATAGCATGCAATACTGAGGTAGGTGGATTAAAAAAATGAACCAAAAAATAATAACAGCTAAGCAAAGCAAAAATAAAAACAGTAAGGATTAGTAAGGGGGTGCTAAATTACCGAAAACAACATAGTCAGAAAAGAGCGCACAAGTGTCGGCAGGACATTGTCCACCGTGTCCACGTCTTTCGAGAACCGGTTCAAGACACGGCCCTGCGGAGTGGTGTCAAATGACGCCATCGGCCACCTGAGAACATACGTGAGTAAGGCTTCATGCATAGCTTTCGCCGCTAGTAAAGCGCCCAGTGCAAATGTTAGTGAGCCAATAAACTGAGCTAGAACTGATAAGTGGAAGAAAACAAGTTAGATAATTGCTAGTGTGTGTTATAGTGAAAAAAGGGAAAGTGTGCTAGAATTTGGGTGTGTAGGGGAAATGGTAATCATTCCAATTTGGAATACTGTACAGCTGGAATAGCTTTGTAACATTTCAAATTAGCAAAAAACCGCGCATATATGAAACTACACTGAAAGGACATTTCTTACCTTGACCGGCACCAAAGGCACCGTACACTCCCAGGTACATATCTCTTACGCTGGTATCGTTCTCAGCCGCTTCATCCGTTGACCATTTCGACAACCATAGATTCGATCCAATCGAGAAGCTTTGGAATACCATGTTCAGAAGGACCGTAGCTATCGAAAGCGTTAGGCCAATGCTCTTCAGATAGTGTTTGTAGACTTCCCATTTTACCTGAAAAACATAAGTTACAACCGGCTTCCAAACCTTTCGGCCAATAATACTTACGCTTCCGGTTTCAGACTTCTCCTGTTCTATCAGTTTGTTCTTCTGCGGCTCTTCTAGAAGCTTCTTCTCGGGTGTTCTTTTCCTCAGACTGCTCTGGCTGCCACTAATATCTGAATTTTGCCTAGAATATGATTCATTCCCAGAAGACGTGCTGCCACTTCTCGATCGCTTACTGATGGCTCGTTCAAACTTGTGCTTAAGCTCTTCGTTGCTTACATTGGACTCGAGCTGTGCCTTAATCTCGTCAATATCTTCTTCCTCTTCGTTTACTTCCTGCAGGTGCTGAATCAGGAAATCAGCAAACGCACCCTTCTTATCCATCAGCTCCTGATACGATCCGGATTCGGAGATTTCGCCATCCTTCATAACGAATATAACATTCGTGTTCGGCAAATACGTAATACCATGCGTCACCAGCACACGTGTCTTCTTTGCTAGCAGCCCATTGTCGCCTATGACCTGTTCGAAAATATGTTTTCCAACGTGGGAATCGACGGCACTCAGCGGATCGTCCAAAAAGTAAATATCCGCATCGCTATAGACCGCTCGGGCCAGTGAAACACGTTGCTTCTGTCCGCCGGACAAGTTGATGCCCTTCTCTCCGATCTCGGTTTGATCCCCACCGGGCAGCATCTCAATATCCGGCTTCAAAGCACATGCCGAAATCACCTTGTTGTACAGCTTGACGTCCATCGATTTACCAAACAGAATATTGTCCTGCAGGGTAGCATTCTGGATCCAAGCCTGCTGACTGACGTAGGCAATTTTTCCGATCGTGTTGACTCGACCGGAAACTTTATCCATTTCACCGAGGAAAGCCGACAGAACCGAACTCTTACCGGAACCGACCGTACCGACGATGGCGGCCAGCTCATTTTTCTCCACCTTCATGTTGATGTTTCTCAGCGTAGTGTCATCGCCATCCCACGAGAAGACACCGCCCTCTATCACCAGAGGGCAGGCTGAAAACAGGGAAAAGGCAAACGGTTAGTGAACGGAATTTGCACGAAAATGCTGCCACAAGACTTACATTCCTTCTCGTCGTGCTGAACGTTGTCCGGATTGAGTTCTTCCTGGTTGAGGAATCTGTTGATACGTTTCACGGAAACGGCAGTCTGTTGGCAGAGAGGGTGGGAAAATTGTGCTGAATTAATTGTTCTGGGAACAATAATAGGGTTAGTTAGTTCGTGCATAGTATATTGGTAGCCCATATGTTAATCACTGGTTACATTACATCAATTAATCTTAAAAGTTCCCTATATTTAGGTTCCCGTACTTGCTATTTTGCTTTTGCTGTAAGTTGCTGTAGCTTTCTGTAAGTTACTGTAAGAAATTATAAGGTGCAGCGCAAGTACGGGAACAGACCTTTTGGCATCTAGAACAATTCCTACACTGAGGCAAACGACCGTAAGAACTCCGTAAGACTTCTTTCTTCTTTTTCGCTTTTCAAGCTTGTTGCTTATCGCATATTAGCTTATTGCGTGCTCTCAATTAAGTGTTCTAGATGCACTTCCACAGTTAATAATTAAGAGCTTTCGAAGCTTGCTACCATTTTTGCATTAGTATAATTGTGTGGCAAGTACAATCATACTCTCTGTCCAGGGAAGTCGAGAAATTTTCCAAACCCGAAGAATTCCTAGACTGGACGGGGAATTGAACTCAGCCACCTCCAGCATGGTCTTCCTTTGTAGCTGCGCCTTTACCGACAAAGCTAAGGAAGGCCCCAAGAACTCCGTAAGAACCACTTGTGAATTTTCGACAAAAGGGTTTCTTATGGAAATCATAAGTTTGGCTTATGAAACAGAATTCATAAGTTAGTTTATGAAACTTAAAAAAATATATATATATAAATTGTAGCAGACCGCAATCGAACCCAGAGTGTTCGGATTTGTTGACTCCGTGATTTGCTCTCACGTCTATCAACGCTTGGGGAATCGAAGGTGGTGACTTTAACACTCTTGGGTCATTCGTGAATTCGTGAACGTTTCAAATAATGTGTCGTTGTCTTTTTTGAAAATAATAGATATCGAAAAATGTCGCGGAATGAACTTATTAAATTTTGTGATTAAAATGTTTACCAAAACTCACTCACCACAACACGCGTAATTTTCTCTTATAGTACGTTCAGACTACAAAGTTATAACATGTTATAGCGCTATCTTGATGGTGGTTTCTGTGTTGCAATTAGTTGACAACCGTTATAACATGTTATAACTCTCCAGTCTGGACAGCGTTTTAGTCTATGCAAATTAAATTCAGGTCACATAGGGTTACGGGATGTAAACTTGGCCTAGCCCCTCAATTCGGCCTAGCCAGCAAATAAATCATTTTTCAGCAATAAATCTCAATTTTAATGTCAAAAAAGTTCACTTATCACTTTAAATTGTGAGCCGCACACGAATCACTTGGGCTGTGAACCAATTGGCAAGTTAAATATAACTCGTGGTTAACATTGACAGATGTAAAAATATCGATTAACTCTCCTAGGTTAAAGTTAGATTTGACAACCGTGGCTGAGTTATTAGGGTGGGGTTTATTATTTTTTAAATCGTTCGGGGATATGTTTTCCCATGATTATTGGGACTAGTTAAGTAAAATAAAAAAAAAAAAAAAATGAGTGCCACAAATGTTATATGCAACAATGCAACTCGTCTTCTTTTTGCAACTTGCAACGATTTTGTTTAACTCCTTATTTCAACTTCTTTTTATTTTTTGAAATAATTTGTTGTTGCTATCACTATCCCCCCCTTTCACCAGATTTGAATATTGTATGACAAAAGTAAAAATATTAATTTGTTTCTGCCTAATATCGAAGACAAGAATCAAGAAGACTGGCAACTCTTCCATTTTCTCATACGAACGCTATGAGACAGGTACAATCGCGTCATCTGCCGCTGAAAGGTAAATGCTTCGAACGAATTTGATAGCAAAGATTACATCCTCAGAAGAAGGGTTTGTGTATTTCCTCATGCTCACTCACATGCTTCACTCAAGCGCATCGCCATTGTATCTGTCGCTTGGATTCTGGCAAAGTTGCTAGTCTTCTTGATTTGTTGTCTTCGCTAATATGCTCAAAAACATTGTGCTAATAGATCAGTGCACTCTTCTCTCACCCGTAAATTTTGACAGTTTTGTGTGGTTTGTTTTGGCTCCCACTCGTTGCCATCTCTTTTACTCAGAGACAAAATGATAGGAAGCAAAAAGTGAGGTTAGGGACCGTGCACTGCTCTATATTACCCCGAATGTGAAAAGAACGAGCAGCAATCGAAAGAAGGCAGAATCTCATTCGGGCTAATGGCGTTCGGGAAAGTGACATTTGAGGTAATGTAGCGCAAGCGAAAGCTGAAAAATAATGCTGATATTTTTTTAACGTTTTAAACCTAAAACTAAATACAGGGAAAATTAGAAAAGCAAAAGCAACTGATGATTGATTTCGATTTAGCCATCGATTTTTTTTTTCCACTTACTTGCACCATGTTAGAGATGAGCATAGGCAACATCGAGAGCGGAAACCGAAGGATGTTGAAGAGTGCTAGTGAAACGAAAGCTGTGGTTGCATTCAGGACGTTATTCTCATCCACCATGACATAGGTTGCGAAGGTAACCAATGATACCTGTGCGGATGTGGTTGTTTTCATTTGAGGATGATTTTGATTAACACATGACGGTAAAAAAAAAACAGAAAACGAAAATGTTTGGTTAGAATTTTGAGTGAGTCGAAAAATGCGTTTCTCTTCCTCTACTGCTACATAGCTTGGCCGCGTGCGGATAGTGCTGGGGAAAACATTCACCGAATTCTAGAACAGGGAGGAGAAATTTTAAGGTGTGTTTACCTCGACCATGTAAACGATCAACATGGGCAGGAGCACCAAGGGGAGTTTGAGAATATCGAACAACGTGAGGCAAACGAATGCTTTAACAGGGGTCAACACGTTTTTTTCGTCCGACAGCACGAACACGGCGAATGTGATGAGCGAAACCTTTCGAAAAGTATGATAGCGGTACATTTTTTTTAGAGGAAGAGATTTTGGGGGGAAGTTTGTTTGGACATGTGAAAAGAAATGAGATACATTACCAGGAAGGGAGCACAAGACCAAATGAAGGAGGTTCCAGCGTTGAGATAGGCGGCCGATTTGAGCACCTTGACTTCTTTGTCACGAATAACCAGGATCTGCTGCTCAAAGCTGGGTTCCCATGCGTATAGTTTCAAGACCTACGAGTAGCGATGTTCCGATTAAAATACAATTAAAAGAACGGTAAATGCCACAGTTATCACCTTAATTCCGCTAAGCACTTCATTCATAAGCTTAACACGTTCGTCCTTGTTCTTCATCTGTTTGATTTGCAGAGTTTTGATTTTATTGGCGATGACACCGTTGACGGGAATTAGGATAATCATTACAGCCAGTCCAGCCAGCACAGATGGTCCTAGAATTTCCCATAGGAAGAACAGAGCCAAAGCGATCTGAAGCGGAGCACTCCACAGCATATTGATGTAGGTGGTTAGGTCCATGAATCTTTGCGCATCCACCGCCATCAAGTTCACAATTTCACCGACGGTCGAACCTTTTCTCGCACTATTGGAGATGATCAGAGCCTTTCTGTAGATAGCGCTGATTAGTGCTGTACGAATTCGCAATCCGACGAAGAACATCCGGTTGAAATATTGAGCCAACAATAGAGTCTGTGTGCCTGCCACTAAAAACAGTAAAATTGCGAAGAAAATGCCTTTCCATATGGGCTCGTCACCTCCAACGAAGTTGATAATAAGTCGTAGGATTTGCGGAGAAGCAAACGTCAAAACATCCTGTCCCAGCTTCAGGAACGATCCGAAGGCAAAAGTGGGTCCGAAAGCCTTGATCAGTGCCGGCAGGATGGATGCGATCTTCTTAGTCTTGATGGTTTTGAAATCCACCCGAGAGGATTGCTTCTTGTAGCTAGCCGAGCTCGTGACGTCCTGAATATCCCGGGTTTTATACGTTTTTTCCAGAGTTTCATTCCAATGCTTCATAAACAGAGGGGAAACTTCCTTCGATGCATCTTCCGGCTTCATGTTCCAGAGGTCTTCGTTTACCAATGGCTTTCTAAACCCGGTCCATGCAAGTTTGTCAAACCATCCGAAAATCAATCGTGACGGGAAGGAAGCCGACAGTTCGGGACAATCCTTATGCGTGATTTCATACTTTGTCACTTGAGGCGGTTTGTCAACGAAGAAGTTAAGTATGAACATCAAACAAGAGCCGGCGAAGAAAATGCAGAAACTGATGAAGTGATACTCGGCCCACGAGTCAGCTTCGTGCCGATTGTCATGCGCCCGAGCTTCCGTCCGACAGCGAGGTATACTACATACGATGAGGAGCGCCCAGAAAAGGAACATCAAGCCGGACGTTTGCATGCCGTAGAATTTGTTCATATATATAAGAGCAGCGACATATACCTGTGAAATATTGATAATTTGATATTGAAATTGTAGGATTAAACAAAAAACATTAGAAACTTACAAAAGTGGCTATTTTTATCACTGGACTGTAGAAGTAGACAGGGGCCACCGGGTCCTCGGTTGAAATTGCCTTGATTAAATCAACAATGGTAAGAACGATCAGTGCACTAACGATGGCTAGTTTTGTCACATTCAGCACACTCCAGGGTACATTTCGGTTGCGACTATTTCGTAGGTAGTACAGCTCGATCAAAGAGAACACCCAGAGGAACGCACAAGGTGTCCACACGAGCGCCGTCTGCTGGAAACATGGTGTCAAGTCTGGGTCGTTTGTGTACCATGTTAGATTGAGATCCTGGAAACGTGTAATGAATTTAGGAATCGGTCTAAAAACAAGTATAACGCTCTAAAAAGATATGGTGACGCGATTATCTTCATTGACGAAACTTCGCAGTGTTTGTTTACCCCAGGCATTTTTAAATGCCGGTACATAATCAGCTGATGAATGAAAACTCTATACACACACGGGAAACGAACAAAACCCAAATAATGTGACGAACGGTCGCTCACGAACGATACCGTTATTTTTCCCGGCAATGAATCACCCCTCGGCATTCGAGTTTCGTTGCGTGAGCTGTCATCTTTGCACTAGTCGCCAACAACATAACCTTACGAAGAAGCATAGTTCAGACATTAATTTCACAATGTGATAACTAATCACACCAATTTCAACTACTTTTTAGCAATTTCATAAACACGAGTACACTTGCTATCATTTACCACTATTTTCACTTGTAATCGAATTACTTTTGCACCGTAACTTACCCAAAATCTGGAGCCGCAAAATTCGTCCATCGGATGGGCATCCATCTTTGCTACCGAATACGATGTGTCACGCAGCCAGATTGAAGTGTGAGTTCCGTTCGGCTTTTCTCGGGAAGAAAACAACAAGTGGGTGGTGTCACCAATACTCTCTCACTATCTGATCAGATTGTATACAAACAGCGATGACGTCACCGAGAATGAACCGCTCTTTTTTAATCTGGAATGAATCAAAATACAGTGTATTATCATCGGTTACACTGCCAAAACAGTTGCTTGTGGTGCTATTTTTATATCCAATAAAACTACCATTCAATTTCATTATATTATTCAAGTTACACATTGTCCACATTGTAAACAATGCTCCGCTTTATTCGGATTTTGTTCTTCTTTTTCTACGATCCTCGCCACTCACTCATACTAAACCGAAAAGCCGAAGATTGACAGTAACTCAATATGTATGAAATTTTCTGCTCTAGCTGACAGATTGAAACGCAGATTTTGTGTGCAAAAGTTGCGTGGTGTTTTTTTGTGTTCTGCCAACGAAAATACGATTTTCTTCTCGAAAACAAGGAAAATCAGTGAAAATGGCCCACTCAAGATCCACCTTCCTCGAGGCGGATTCGTCACTGATAGAGAGGAACCTTCTATTCGTTCGGGTAAGTACAAATTTGCTTATTTTCGAGCAACAATAAAAATATGGCTTTTGTTCCGAAGGATGAAGCGGAGGAGACGTTCAACACCATGTTCGGGCCAATCGTGGAACAGGCTCAGGACATCAGCAGTGGGCGGTCCAAAGTCGTGAAACCGTTACCAGGTTAGTGGAATCCTTTTAACCCTTATGTGCAGGGGGAATTTTTTTGCTTTTTTTTCTACACCGTACCCCTTCACGCACATGGAATGTCTTCTATGAAATCGTTCAGTTCAATTTTGCGTTACATCCGGAAGCCGGATGTCAACTCGGAACGATTAGTCTTCACATCAAACTATGATCTTCATTTCAAATGCCTTTTCTTCTTCCAACTCTTTCATGATCTATGAAATGAAGAAGTTGAAGCTCGCGGTATTCATGATTCAGACATGCTTTTTCCATCGAATAGAACCAAGGCACCATATTTCACGCGGCTCCTATCTCAACGCTCTTTATAATGTTTAACTATTTTACATTAGCTGCTTGAAATGTTACCACTACAAATTTTCGTTCCCGTGGTCTAGGGATGATAGTGTAACAAAGATTTAAAAAATATCTCGTCAAAATCGAGATACGATCAAAAATAGACGAGTGCATCGTAGTTATGAACCGCGTCGGTGCTAGTGATTCCTAATGACGACAGTTTTCACGACAGTCTTAAAAACATTTCCACCATTACAAATGTCGTATCACTTGAGCGATTATTGTAAAGTATCGTTTGCTTATCAGGTTTCGTGAACCATTGCTGCGTTATCTTCTCGTCAGAGTGCTATCATCAGCTGGTTAGCGGATGGCACGATGACTTGCAAACTCGGTTGCATGAAGTAGATAGATAGCTATCTAGCTTTTAAATAGGCTACCAAGGAGCACGCGTTGTAAACGTTATCTGGTGTTTATACTAGAAATCACAATAAAACGAAGCGTTGTCGTCAAGCTTATATAGATTGTATATGAGAACCAGGCCACCCGGCACCAACTATGCTTACGGTTATCAGCTTTTACTCAGAGGTTTGTTATTGTTTGATTTAGCAGGAAGCAGGAATGGAGTTATAATATGTTACAAGACTGAAGTTACAGTTACTTTCGAGAAAATGTTCGTATTTTTTACCGAACTGCTGAACGTCAGACATAAGTCGTGATACTTTGAAACACTGCCCAGACTGAGCAGGCATGACATGTTATAAGCCTATCTTTATGACAGGTTTCTTGTCAATAATAATTATAATAACATGTTTTAACTCTATACACACTTAGAAATGACTATTTTTTACCGCCGAACTTTCAACAGCTGAACGTACGGTAAAACTTTGACCATCATTTTAAAAGCTGTTTCACAAAATTTTAATTTCAAACCACGCTGATGCCTTGTTTGAATAATCGAGTCGGTAATCAATTCTAAGTGGTCTGAACGTGGTATTAGAGTGAATTGATATAACCTGTCGGGATATCTGTCTAGATATTTTAAATTTTCTCTACAAATAATATGCACGAAATTTCTAGATAGAGCAGGAATTAGGGCGTAACAGCTTTTGTAAACAATTACTTCACTCGTTGACGCATGGTTATGTTTGTTTGGATGTGCGTGCCTTCAATTCCTAGAAATCATCGAGAGAAGTCATTGTTTACACAAGCTTTAACGCTCTAATTCTAGCTCTATCTAGATTTGATATCAAGATACTACTAATGAAACTATTTTAAACAAGCATGGTTTTCAGTATAGAACAGTCATTAATGAATACCACATCGGTGCAGATTTGGCACCATATATAGTAGTAATCCTTCGGAAGGGAAGTAAAGCCGTTGGTCCCCGCTCCATAAGTTGATGAGTTGATAGGTAGGGTCCAAGTGTGGGAGTTGCCTCTCTGGCGTCGGTAGCATTGGTGCTCAGCACAGAAAACAAGATCGACGGAAAACAAATCAAAGAAGAAAAAAAGAACGGTCGCACCGCGTCCACGGTGACTTGCATTCTTGGACCGTGTGCAGTGGAAAATAATTTTTTGTTTGACGTAAATTCAACAAGCTTGATTGCAGCACATCAATCAAGTAAGTAAGTTTGATAAAAGAAAGTATCATCTAGTGTTAAAAGCGTGCAGCTGAATAATTACACTCAAGTCTTTTTTACGCGGTTTTTTGAAACAACACGTTTTTTTACACGGAGCCTAAATAATCTAAGTGTTGGAACGGACTGGAGCCAAAAAACAAACTTGGAAGTGTATTTCGACACACCGGACGATATAGGTACATATTTTCGGAACGAGGACGACGTGTAGAGGCCGGTAATCGATGTTTGACGTCATTTTGGAATCCAAGATGGCGATTTCCAGTTCTTGAAAAGCTGTCGAAAACCCTACCATATAGGTATTTTCGAAACTGGGACGTCGTTAAGAAACCGAAAATCTTTGGAATCAAAGATGGCAACTTCCGGTTTATGATGAAATTTCGAATACCCCTCAATATGGGAATTTTCGGAACGGAGAGAGGCCGGAAATCGATTATTGATGCCATTTTGGAATCCAAAATGGCGACTTTCGGTTTATGAAAGTGCCAAATAATGCAATAAGGTTTTAAATATCGTTTATTTTCCATAATCTGTAATTAATTTTATTACATTTGCAGGAATTGTATATATTGAATGCTGAACAAAATACGATACCAGCGACTAAGTTGAGGAATGCATGTTGCACTAGAGGTTTTCTAGCACGTAATAATAGCCTCAAAAGGACCTAGCATAACTGGAACTGGATAATAACTGAACCAGGATCTCTAGTGAAACAGTGGAATCTAATTTCTAGCTTCATTTAAATGGTCTAGTTCAGGAAATACCGCGCACTGGTAGTTATAGTTGAAGAGTTCATAACTTAACGTCCACGATGTCCAATTGGCTAAAAACCTATTTCAGTAACAAGGATTCTTCAGTCACTGGGTTTCATTACCTTTGAATATTTGGCCAACAACAATTTAAATTCCAGTTGCAATTATGTTCGGTACCACTCAATAGAAAACCTCTAGTGCTACATGCATTCCACAACCAAGTCGCTGGTATGACATTTTGTTAAACATTCAATGTATACAATTCCTGTAAATGTAATAAGATTAACAAATGCCCGCTCCTTTGCCCTGACACTGCTCGTTAGGTTTTGGGCATTGGTGGAGACAACTTGTTTCGACAGTTTCAACAACTCTTTCTTCATATCCAGTTCATTGTCCAACACCTGCTTTCATGATAGCCCAATATTTCTCGATTGGCCGAAGCTCTGGCGTGTTCGGAGGGTTGACCTCGGGGCAGGAGGCGCTTCTGGAGGCATTCATTCTTGTTAATTTTCCCGTTAACGGTGCTTTTGACAATTTCTTATTCCGGGCGGTTCCAGGAACGGTCAACCTGGATTTGGGAACGTAGAACTCTTCCCAAGTAACATTTTACGTTTTATGAAATACTAGAAGGCTACTATAAAACAACATTCAGAAAACCCTGGTCAAGACGGCTTTGCCTTCATTACATCCACCAAAACCTCATTAAGACTAGAATCTGTATAGTTGGCCCACCCCGAAAAAGGTTTTGAAGGGCATATTTTCGAGGCACTTCAAGATTGATTTGCTGCAAAAAGGTTATACGACGAAAGCATTGAAAACCATTTGAAATCCTTATAAAATACTTGTAAAATAAAGCATCAATGAAGATACAAAGGGATACATAAATATCATCAGATCTTGCCAAATTTATTATTCAAAAATGAATCTTTCAAAAATCTTCTTTAATTTCCTCATCTAATGTAAAAGAATTACCAAAGTTATCAAAGCAGTTCTCATTCTGTGGTCTTTTTTTAGGTGACAGTTTAAATCTAATGTTAAATGTGCTTCGAAAGATCGAAAAAAATAAGTCCGCCTTCGGAAATCGTTAATTTTACTTATTATTTTATAGTTTTATATCGGTCATTGCGTCCAGCCGAGATAATTTAATGATTATCGGAATCTCTATTACTGTTCATTGATGAATTAATAAAATTAAAGTTATTTTAATGGAAAAAAAAAACATCTTGATAAACGAAGATAGTAGAAAAAAAAAACAAATGTAAACAAATGCAAGGTGGCATAAAAATTGATTGTCCATAGGCCAATCGTGAAAAGGCTATTTTGCTTTGATAAAATCGCTAACAAATACAAAACGTTTTAATTTGGCTTTAATGAAGATAATTTGCAGACTGAATTGTATTTATCTGAGGCCATTTTGCTTGATCCTATTCCGTTTAGCTTTATGACGGCATGAATGGTTTCAAAGTTGCCTGGAAAAAGTTAAACGTCAAAATTTGTTTACATTGCGATAGTTTTGTTGCGCGATCATTGCACCGAGCTTCTACTCCTGCGTTTGATCAACAAGTTGCGTGGCATCCTCGATAAGGGCGATTACCATCCATTGGAAGCAGTTAATCAGGAAGTGCATCTGCATAACTTGGAACAGGTGGAAGCTCAATCGTTCCCAAAAAGGTTCCCTTCTTTCTCTTGGATGATCCGAGAAGGCTAATGTGCGCTTGCTTGGATTTTTTGATATAGTTGACCCTTTCGCCGAATGAAGCCACTGTTATGGTTCGGTAGGCAGTCAGTTTCCAGCTGACTGACAGCTTCTGAAGTTTCCTGTCGGCAGTTTTCCGCAGTCCCACCCAGTTTGGCACTGATGCATGTTATTCGGATCAACATCGAAACGCAATCTCTGGAGAAGGTTGGTCTGTGTTTATTCAGATCGTGTCGCAAACGCCATTGACAATATTTTGGGTATTCCCATCAATTTTAAGCGTCTAATTTGACGGCTTCCAGTGCTTCGTGAACCGCATTCACTCATTCTTCTCAGTCGGCTCTTTTGTCATTGTTGACCGGTTCAGTCAGAGCTGCTGGGCCTCCCAGGAAGTTCTGGAATTGGAATTCTTTTACTTTCCGTCGATAGCATCGCTATAATTATTCCTCCTACTATCGCTAGTATTGTTATTTAAAACCAGACCCGTTTTGACTTAATCGTCAGACATTAAAAGGTTTTTAAAACAGCAAAATGCTGAACTACTGACCAAGAATGTGTTGCACTTTTCAATGCTGTATTTAAAGCTATGAGTAACTCCAGGTTTTTTTTCAAATCTGAG